CCCCCCCCAGCCTTCACCACACAATTGTCTGTGTCCATGGGTTATGCGTATATACATGTAAGTCCTTTGATTAATCTCTCCCCACCCACTCCCACTCCCTGCCTTCCCACTGAGATTCATCAGTCTATTCCATGCTTCTATGTCTCTGGATCTATTTTGTTCCTCAGTCTATTTTGTTTGTTACATCCACATATGAGTGAGATCATGTAAAACTGAATCTGGAAGAATCAGAAAACCTGAATAAGCTAATAACTGATGAAACTGAAGCAGTAATAAAAAACTCCTAGCAAACAAAAGCCCTGGTCCAGACAGCTTCACAAGAGAGCTTTCTAATTCTTTAAGTTGTAGGGTTAGATGGTTTACTAAAAAATCATTCTTGCTTTTTGAGGTAGGCCTGTAGTGCTATGAACTTCCCTCTTAGGAGTGCTTTCACTGTGTCCCATAGATTTTGGGTTGTTCTGTGTTCATTTTCATTTGTTTCCAGGAAGTTTTTGATTTCTTTATTGATCTTATTGTAACCCATTCATTGTTTAATAACATGTTATTTAGCCTCCATGTGTTTGAATGTTTTTGAGAGTTTTAACTATAGTTGACTTCCAATTTCATGCCATTGTGATCTGAGATGCTTGATATGATTTCAGCCCTCTTGAACTTGTAGAGACTTGTTTTGTGTCCTAACATGTGGTCTGTCTTTGAGCATGACGCATGTGCACTTGAGAAGAATGTATATCCTGCAGCTTTGGGGTGAAATGTACTTTAAATATCAATTAAATCCATCTGATCTAGTGTGCCATTTAGAATCACTGTTTCTGTGTTGACTTTTTGTCTGGAAGATCTACCCAGTGAAGTCAGTGGGGTGTTAAAGTCCACGACTATAACTGTATTGCTGTTGATCTCTCCCTTTAAGTCCTAAGGTTATTATTGATAGGCCCTTATTTATTGCTATTTTAATTCTTTATGCCTATGTTTCTCTCTCTATTTCTACTTCTAATTACAGCAGTCTCTTTAACATTTCTTGCAATGCTGGTTTGGTGGTGATAAACTCCTTTGCCTTTTTTTTGTCTGGGAAGCTCTTTATTTCACCATCTATTTTGAATGATAGTCTTGCTGGATAAAGTAGTCTTGGATTCAGACCCTTGTTTTGCATTACATTGAATACTTCATACTGTTCCCTTCTGGCTTGTAGAGTTTCTGATGAGAAGTCAGCTGACAGACTTATGGGAGTTCCTTTGTAGGTAACAGATTGCTTTTCTCTTGCTGCCTTCAGTATTCTCTTTGTCTTGAATTTTTGGTATTTTAATTATGATGTGTCTGGGTGTGGGCCTCTTTGGATTCTTCTTGCTTAGGACTCTCTGTGCCTCCTGAACTTGTGTGACTTTTTCCTTCACCAGGTTAGGGAAGTTTTCTGCCATTATTTCTTCAGGCAGGTTTTCTAATTTTTGCTTATTTTTTACCTCTTCTGGCTCTCCTATAATGCGAACATTGTTACATTTCATGTTGTCCCACAGCTCCCTTAGACCGTCGTCCTGTTTTTTTCATTGCTTATTTCTCTTTGGGTCTCTGATTGAATGATTTTTTTCCTACCCTTTCTTCTGATTTGCTGATCCGATACTCAGCTTCCTCTAATCTGCTGTTTATTCCTTCCAATGTATTCTTTATTTCTGCTATGTCATTCTTCATTTCTGACTTGTCATTTTTCATAGTTTCCATATCTTTTTTTCATGCTGTTGAGAATCCTTGCAATCAGTATTCTGAACTCTATATCTGATAGATTGCTTATCTCCATTTCATTTAGCTCTTTTACTGGAGACTTCTCTTGTTCTTTCATTTGGGGCTTGTTTCTTTGTCTCCCCATTTTGGCTGCTTATTTTGGTTTGTTTCTATGTATTAGGTAGGCCTGCTAAAACTCTCAGTCTTTTTGGAGGGTCTCTGTTGCAGGCCAGTGTCAGACACTGTTTGTGACTGGCCTTGAGTACCCTGTTTGGAGCTATCAACAATCCACAGCTTGAGGTCCGCCCTCTTGGTGCTGGGTGCGTTTGGACAGGACCAAGATGCACACCAAAGTCTGCTTTTCTAAGGCTCAGGTCCAGAAGCAGATTAGGCAAAGACTCAAAGCACTCTGAGGTCTGCCTCTGCCTGCAGGCTGATTAATGTGATTCTCTTAATGAGCCTTGGGCTATAGAAACTCCACAGGGTAGGGTGAGAAGTTTTCCAGCAGGATGGGTCAGTTGCTTCCCCCTCAAGAAAAGCTGCTTGGAAGGTAAATGTCTGCCTGTGAAAGATGTCCTCTGCAGTATGAGGAATCCAGAGGGATGCCCTATGAGCTTTATCTCCAGAGCNAGGAATCCAGAGAGATGCCCTATGAGCTTTATCTCCAGAGCCCACAATCCTAGAATCTCCTCACAGAGCTCCAGTCCACTCTGCCCTCCCTCTGCTGGAGCCCAAGGTGAGTGGCTGCACAGGAAACTTTGCGCATTGGCTCTTTAAGAGGATGCCTGTATTTCCAGCTGTCTCTCTCTGGCAGACAGAAACCTTGCTGCTTTTCACAGCCAGATGTTATGTGGGCACCTTTCTCAGTTCTGGTGCTCTTGGCTGGGAAGCCCAGCCTGGGGTTTAGCCCCAGTGTCCTCAGTGGGAACCCCCCACAGCTGAGCTATCTCTCTGGACCTTCAGCTACTCTCTGTTGGAGCCCAGCCAGCTCTCTTGCATCTCCACACTTCCTACCAGTCTCTATGTGGTCTCCACTTTTCCTCCTTGGTTATGAGGATGCTCTCCAGCTCATCTTCAGTTGCAGTTAATTATTCAGGATGGTTTTTCTCTATTTTAGTTGTAATTCCAGTTTGGTCCTAGGAGAGTGTCAGTGTAGCTTCCCACTCAGTCTGCTGCCATCTTTAATCTCTCAGGAATTAAAATTTTTTTATTGTGTAAATTTTTCCACATACAGAAAAATACTGAACAGTATAAATACTTATGGCATACTTATCACCTAGACTTAACAGATTGTTAACATTTTAGTATGTTTATTTTTTCTGAAGTATTATAATGTACAGCATTTTCATAACTTTTAGTGCTTAATACGTAAGTATGTATCTCTTTTAAAATGACACTTTTTACGTAACCGCAATACTGTTATTTCACCAAAGAAAATCAATAGTAATTTTTAATATTGTCTAATATCTAGCCGAGGTTCAGAGTTCTTCAGTTACTGTCAAACTGTCTTTTTACAGTTTGTTTTTTTTGAACCAGGATCCATTTGGTTGTTGACTCTCATGAGATTCCTTGATTTTAAAACAGTTCTTTCTTCCCTGCTTCCTTTTTTCTCACCTTACTTTCATTTGTTGAAGAACTATAGTCTTATAAACCAGAGCATTACACCTTCTCCTATTTTATGGCATCCTTTACCATGTTACTTTAGTCTCTGAATTTCCTATAGAATGAAAGTTAGAGCTAAAGGATTGCTTAGATTGAGATCAAAATTTTTCCTCAAAATATGCCATAGATGATGCTGGATACTTAATTTTTTGTCACAAAATCTATTTCTTTGACTCAATCTAAGATTGATCATTGTGTTCAGGTTATAGAATTGTTTTGTTTTTAAAGTAGGTTTTTTTGGGTTTTTTTGTATTTACTGGGATAATAGGAATTTCTGTGAAAATACTTTTGTAACTCTAATATTAGCACTTGTGGAATGTTCTTCATATTCCTCAAAGCACTTACTAGAAAGCATTCAATCAATGTTAATTTGTATTTTTAAGTTTTATACATGCTCCTTTCCTTTAGGTTTGTTGTCCTTTTCTGAGTGAAAAGATAAAACAATTTTGTTTTTTTCACTACAGATTTTCAGCTACTGATGTTACAAACAAACTATTGGAGCATAGAGTTGAGGAAAAGACTTATACCAGGTAGGTACCACAGCAATCTTGAGAAAGAAGAACAAAGTTGGAGGAATTATGCTACCTGATATCAAACTATACTGCAAGGCCATAGTAATCAAAACAGCATGGTCCNNCCTGGGCATAGAAACAGACATATAGATCAGTAGAAAGAATAGAGAGCCCAGAAATAAATCCATGCCTTTATGGTGGTCAGTTAATATCAGCAGAGGAGGTAAGGACATACAATGGGGTAAAGATTGTTTATTCAATAAATGGTACTGGGAAAATTGGACAGGTCAGGATGCAGAGAAAAGGGAATGTTCACACACTGTTGGTGGGAATGCAGACTGATGCAGCCAGTATGGAAAGCAGTATGGCATTACCTCAAAAAATTAAAATAGAACTGCTTTATGACCCAGCTATTCCACTTCTGGGAATTTATATGAAGAAACTTGAAACACTGATTCATAAGAATATATGCACTCCTGTGTTCATTGCAGCATTATATACAGTAACCAAGATTTAGAAGTAGCCCAAGTGCCCATCAATAGATGAGTGGATAAAAAGCTTTGGTACATTTATACAGTGGAATACTACCTGGTGGTAAAAAGAAGGAAATCTTACCTTTTGTGACAAGGGTAGAACCAGAGAGTATTATGCTAAGTGAAATAAGCCAAAGAAAGACAAATACATATGATTTCTCTTATATGTAGAATCTAATGAACAAAATAAACTAGCTAACGAAATACACACTCATAGATACAGAAAACAGACTGATAGCTGTTAGAGGGTTTGGAGGCTGGGTGAAAAATGTGAAGAGATTAGGCAAAACACACAAAAAAACCTCATTGGTTCGGATAACAGTATGGTGATTACCAGAGGGAAAGGGGGATAGGGGAGGTAGAATCAGGTAAAGGCAGGAAAAATGGTGGTGAAAGAAGCCTTGACTTGGTGGTAAACACACAATACAATATACTGATGATATATTGTAGAATTGTACACCTACCTATATAATCTTATTAACCAATGTCACCCCAATAAATTCAATGAAAAAATTTAAAACCTGGTAAGTAATAAAAGTCTAAGGAACAACAAAACTACCATTTATTTTTGCAAAGTTATTATTGAGATAATAGACAAAATTGGTATATGAACTGGAGTATTTTATCAAAATTAAGTTTCTTCGATTTGATAATTATACTGTGATTATGTAAGAATATTTTGAGGTACTTTGAGGATATTTTGAGGATAAAGGGGTCTGATGTGTGCAACCTATTTTGAAATGGTTCAGAAAATAATAAATGATACGTAATGTGAGAGTTTGGTGAAGTTGTGTATTATTAGGAACTCATATTGCATTGCCAGTGGAAGTATGAATTGGAAAGTATTTTGTCTCAAGTTTTAACTTAGTCTAGCTGTCTTACTTTTTCTTATACTAATTGTAGGAAGACCACAAAAAGCTGTGTGTATGTATAGGGATATTTATAATGATGATGTATGAAACGAATGAACGAATGAATGACAAATTGGCAATAACCTTAATATCTAACAATATGAGACTGATTAATAAAATGAAAAACTTTGAGCATTAAAAATGATAACGTAGGAGAGACAACAAGATGGCAGCGAAGGTAACAACCACATCAAAATTACAACTAAAATACAGAACATCCATCATTCAGAACCTCCTGAAATCTAGCTGAAGAGAAGTCCTACAGCAAGGGAATTGAAGAAGTACATCAAGACCAGTNGTGGTACCCTCTGCCTTGCACAACCACATCAAAATTACAACTAAAATACAGAACATCCATCATTCAGAACCTCCTGAAATCTAGCTGAAGAGAAGTCCTACAGCAAGGGAATTGAAGAAGTACATCAAGACCAGTAGGAGGGGTGGGGACGCAGGGCAGAATCTGGGCTGAATCTCAGAGATGCACTGTGGTCCCACACCCAGGTGCAGTGGGTAAAAACGGGAGGGATATCTCAGCAGTGGAGGTTTCCCGAAGGAGCAAGGGCCCCAGCCCCATATTACACCCCCCAGCCCATGGTTCCAGTGCTGGGAAGAGAAGTCCTGACAACGTGGGGCTGTAAAAGCCAGCAGGAATTGTGGCTGAGGAATGCAGAGGCTGCTGGAGTCCCAGCCAGCTCCTCTTAAAGGGCCCGTGGACGGACTCACTCAGACACACTCCCTCTGAGCTCCAGTGCTGGGCAGCAGCTTGAAAGGAACCTGGGACATTCACGGAGGAACTAACTTGCCTGGAATCAGGGTAAGAGTTGGAGGGGAAACTTTCTGACAGACAGAAGAGCTGGTAGAGGTGATGAGACTTTGATGAGACTTCCCCCCCTACACTGATCTCCTTCCCTGGATTTCCATTAGCCTGATTCACACTTTTCACCTTGCCCTGGTGATTCCCAGAGACCTTCCCCTCCCTACTTGCAAGCTCATCCAAGCCATTTCCAGTGGCTTTTCTGTGCAAATGGCCTGTCCTATCTCATGCTTAGGACTTTCCTAAAATTTCTTAAACAAGCAGCAGCTGGCCTCAGTGTGCCCCATACCTCTGGATAAGTGTCCCCAGGCCTGGCACTAGTGGCAGCCTGCATTGGTTCATAGGTTGGCTTCTCCTGGACACCTCCAAGCCCAGCACAAGTAGCAGCCATCCATGGATTGCTGTATAGTTCATGCTGGGTGGCCCTGGGTAAGTCACAGGCAGAGGCTGACTTTGCATCTCCCAGGAGGACCCAGAGGATCATATTTCAGAGGGAAGAGGGAAGGGGGTGGGAATAGATTAACCAAAGAAGTTACATGCATATATGCATAACCCATGGACACAGCAATGGGGTCAAGGCCTGGGCAGGGGGTGGGAGCAAGGTGGAGGTGGGCCAATGGGGGCAGAAATGGGACACCTGTAATACTTTCAACACTAAAGATAAGTTAAAAAAAATGATAATGTAAATCTGTATTTATTGACACAATGCATAGTGTCCCAAAAAATGTATACACACTTTAACAGGTGGTAACTCACTTCATTTTCACTCCTTTTTAGGTTCAACTGATTTGAAATAATGAGTGAGGTCAGACTAAGCTTTGAACAAAGAAAATTTATCCTAAAGTGCCACTAGACGTTTTTTATGGGAATACATAAAAGATAAATTTACATTACAAAACCCGCAAAAGTAGATGAACTGATGCCCACAAATACTGAAGGCAGAGATTCTTGGTTGTTTGTGCTTCACGTTATCAGCATTCCTGTACCAGAACAGTCATCAGTTTGAAAATAGGCATTGACAAAAAAATTTATTCATTTCTGTAGATCCTTTTAAATTTTGAAAATGAACTGTATATTAATAAAAAATGACAGTATCATTCAAAGTGTGTATACACTTTTTTGGAACGCCTCATATATATTTTAGAGAGTGAGGAAGAGAGAGGGAAAAGAGAGAGAGAAACATCAGTGTGAGAGCGAAACATTCATCAGCTGCTTCCTGCACACCTACCAGGGATTGAGCCCACAACCCTGGCATATGCCCTGACCAGGTATCAAAGCAGCAACCTTTCGGTGCACAGGACACCACCCAAGCAACTGTACCACACTGGTCAGAGCTCAATGCCTATATTTTTAAGTGTCAAAGTGGTCTACTAAACAGTTTGAATAGTAGTAACTTATTTTTTTAATTTTATTTTTCAATTACAGTTTACATACAATAGTAGTAACCTATTTTTGTTTTTTAAGAAAGCATGCACAAAGAATAAACTGTTTCATGTACACACAACTGTAAATCTACTTTTGCCCTACCCTGTATATAATATGTTCACACATTTGCATATTTACATATGTGTTTGTTTGCATCTGACATTTGGAAAGAACACACCTGCATGTTGCCAGTGGTTATTTTTGAATAGCAGGTTTATAAGTGATTTTTATACTTTTTTTGTTAACTGACTTTTTAGGAAGTATATTTTGCTTTTCTCATCAAGTTTTTCTAAGATGCCGCTTATGGAGGTTGTGTTTTTATTTTATACCTTTGCAACAACTTTCGGTATGCAGTAAAAGTAGTGCTATATTTGCTGATAACTGTCCCATATTAGAGTATCTGAGTAGTTATTAAGAGGTTAAATTCACAGCCTCTGAGTCTTGTTGGTCAGCTTTCATTCTGTTATATAGCCAGAGTCTGTTTTCTTAATGCTCTATTAACTGTCTTGCAAGTGCNTCTGAGTCTTGTTGGTCAGCTTTCATTCTGTTATAGCCAGAGTCTGTTTTCTTAATGCTCTATTAACTGTCTTGCAAGTGCGATACTGCTCACGCAGCTTAGCTGAAGTACTTACCCTTTTTGGCAAATCAGAGAACATGTTCTATTAATGACAGTTGTGTAGTGCCTTTGTATAGAACTTACATATTTATTTTTTATAGTTGTCATAACATGTGCTTTGATATTTATACTGGTGATTGTTTTTATAGTTTTTAAAAAATTTATAGCAGTAAATTTTGAGGGCATTTTCCATTAAACTTTGACTCTACATCTTGCTTTTCTTTAACAGATTTTTCTTCAATTAATTAAAAATATGGATCCTGAAGTAGAGATACCACAGAGTATCAAAGTGACACCTCTTCAGCAAATGCTCGCCTCTTGTACTGGAGCTATACTGACATCACTAATGGGTAAAATATTGTTACTGATGTAGATTATGTAACTGAATCAATGAATCCATTTGAGTTTTACTAACTGTGAAATAATGATAATATTATCATTCATCCTTCATAAGTGACAGTCTCCCTCCATCAACATAACATAAAAAGAACCCAGGACAGAGTATCAGGAGACTTGAATTTTAGTCCTTGCTTCGTCATTCTCCGGGTGAATGCACTTTGGGATTGTCTCTACTTCTCTCTGGGCTTCATTTTTCATCTGTAAATTATTGGGGCTTATACCAGGAGTTTCCTGTGGTCCTTATCAGTGTTAAACTTTTCTGACTCTCTTATCCTTTTTTAAAATAGAATGCAAGATGAAATATAATATTAGCATAATGAATAATACAGAATTTGGACGATTTACTATAGCAATAAATACACATTGTTTACTCTATTAATGATGAATTTCTTAAATTTCTCTGGACCACATTTTTTTGTTTTTCAGAGTCAATTTCTTGTAGACAGCCAAATGACATAGTTAGGTGATAGTTTAGCATTTTAATGATTTTTAACTTGGCTGGGTTATTTAAATAAGCTAGCAGATGACTAGAACAAACATAAACTAATTGCATTAGAATGGTAGTATTTTACTTCAGGAATGTTAGGGTTGTAAAGGCCTTAGAGATCATTCTCAGATGAGGAAAAGTTTTCTTTGGTATCATTATTTGGCATTTTTCTACTTGGGCAGAATACAGCATGCAAATTAAAACCATTCTCCTTTGCTGTGCTTTTCCCAAGTGAAATAACACATCTGTTGATAGAGATGATTTATTACTAGCTTACTCAAATTTACATTAACTATAGTTTCCATTAGATATGGGTAAATTTAATAGATTAGGAAGACTAATAATGTTTATTGACTACTTATAATTCAGTTATTCTCCATATTTAAATAGACTTTTGGACTAGTACTTTAGTTTTAATGTTAATGGAATATAGTTGTAGAAATTTTATTTATTTTATTTTTTAAAAGTATATCTTTATTGATTTCAGAGAGAGGAAGGGCGGAGGGGAGAGAGATAGAAACATCAATGATGAGAGTCATTGATCATCTGCCTCCTGCATGTCCCCTACTAAGGATTGAGCCCGCAACCCCAGGCATGTGCCTTGACTGGGAATCGAATTGCCATCTTCTGGATCTTAGGTCAATGCTCAGCTGCTGAGCCATGCCCGGCCAGGCAAATATTTTAGTGCTTGTGAGAAAAGTAATTACATTGTCTTCTCATTGATCCTCTTCAAACAAAATTCAAGGGCAAAAATTAGAATGTTATATTCAAAACCACTTTAAGATAAATAATCTTACCCATTATATAGTGATGAAGAAAAGTATGATTCAGTACACATATTTTGCATTTTTTGGACAAATATTTCTAAATTTACATATATCAGTTGTTAATTGAAATTTACGTATCTTCATAGTGACACCCCTGGATGTAGTTAAAATTCGACTTCAAGCCCAAAGCAACCCATTTCCCAAAGGTATGTACTAGTTATTCTGGAAGTGTTATGTTAGATTTTTAAATGTTACTGTATTCATTTTTGTTTGAATATTAATTTTTTTTTGTCAATTAAAAAAATTACCATCATGCAGAAGCAGTTTTTCATCACTTAGTTATACATGATGAAATCTAGGCAAGAAAACAAATTTGCATATATAACACTTTTTTTTTTAATCCTCACCAGAGGATATTCTTTCCATTGCTTTTCCGAGAGGAAGGAAGAGAGAGAGAGAGAAAGAGAGAAACATTGATGTGAGAGAAAGTATTGATTGGTTGCCTCCTGCATGCGCCTCGATGGGGGTCAAGCCTGCAACCGAAGTACGTGCTCTTGGCCAGAATCGAACCTAGGACCCGTCAGTCCAAGGGCTGGTGCTCTAACCACTGAGCTATATATAACACTTTTATGAGCCTACTAATTAGGTAAGAGGATGATTTTTATATTTGGGTATATATCTCTTAAGTAAGAACAGAATTAACTTGTCAGGGATCTTAGAAGCTAGCTTGCTCTTTAGTCCAAAAACTATGCAAATCCTGCAACATCAACAGTCATCCAACTGTTGCTTGAATACAGTGATCAGAAACTCATTATTTTATCAGGCAGCTTGGTTAATTGTTAAACAGTATAGTTTATATGCAGTCTGAGAAGAGTAATTATGCATTTTTATTAGATGGGCAAAAATAGCAATTCCTTCATCAACTTTTACAGTTTTATAAAGATAACGGCACTTTAAAACATGTTTAAAAAGCAGAAAACTGACCAGACTGTGAGGAATTTGGCTCAGACATAAATGCCACTCTGTTGAATGCATAGCATTAAGATGGAATGAACAGCAGACATATTTCAAATGAATGACAGGATAGATGGATTGTAGGAAGAGTCTAAAAGTGAGGTAGTTTCCTACACATTAAAGAAAGCTTAAAAAGCAGGAGGCACTTGACTTATGTATTATAAAACGCAGAATTATATATGTGGTTGAACAGAGAAGACAGTTTTGGCAGCAAGAGGTAGTCCAATAATGGGAAGGAGTTGGTATTAGAGAAAGTGGTAAATTAGATGGGAAGTGATGAATGTCTAAACTGAGCAGTATAAATCCAGAGAAAGGGACAAAGCATAGCATTATTTACATTGGTCAAGAAGAAGGTGTTTTTTCATAATTATTTTTATTGAGATATAATCAACAAATAATACTGTATTCATTTTAGTTATGGAACATAATGATTTAATAATATGTACACATTGCGAAATGATCACAATAAGTTTAGTTAATATCCATCACCTCACAAATTTACTTTTTCTTGTCATGAGAATTTTTAAGATATACATTACATTTCATAATATATTTTTGTCTGCATTTCCCGTGCATACCATGAAGTTTTCTTGTCAAATAGAGAAGACATACACCCATGTTCTCATATCAAAACAGGTTTTCCTCCTTTATCTTTTCTCTCCATTCCCTCAGATAACCTAAACGAATTTATTTCTGTGTGCATTTGCTTACTACAGTTCTGAAAACATAAAACCCACTAATTTGCTCAATTGCTTTCACCACTGTGAATTTAGATCCCAATGCTATATCATTAAGCACATCAAATTATGTATATTTCATCCTAAAAGGTGAGGATAAGATTATATCTTAAAATTTTCTAGTACTTCTCTAGTCCCCTCATTGTAGTTTCAATTTGTTCATCAATAAAAATAATACAGTTATGTGATGTAATTGTTGACTGTTGTGATCTTCTTTGTTAGGAAAATGTTTTGTATATAGTAATGGACTTATGGATCATCTATGTATCTGTGAAGAGGAAGGAAACAAAGCATGGTATAAGAAGCCAGGTTATTTCCAGGGAACATTGGTAAGGAGATTATGTTATATAGTATAATCACAATATGTTTTCTATTTTTATTTGTTTATTTTGTTCACCATTTTATTTTGTTCATTAGATTCCACATATGAGTAAGATCATGTGATACTTGTCTTTCTCAGACTGGCTTATTTCACTCAGCATAATACTCTCCAGGTCCTACCATGCTATCTCATAGGGTAAGGGATCCTTTCTTTTTTACAACTGCATAGTATTCCCTGGTGTAAATGTCTGAGAAGATGCTTGATATGATTTCAATCTTCTTGAACTTGTAGAGACTTGTTTTGTGTCCTAACATGTGGTGTATCTTTGAGAATGTCCCGTGTGCACTTGAGGAGAAAGCATATTCTGCAGCTTTCAGGTGAAATGTTCTATAAATATCAGTTAAATCCATCTGATCTAGTGTGCCATTTAGAGTCACTGTTTTCTTGTTGATTTTTTGTCTGGAAAATCTATCCAGTAAAGTCAGTGGGGTGTTAAAATCCCCTACTATGACTGTATGGCTGTTGATCTCTCCTTTAAAGCCCTCTAGAAGTTTTTTGTTTTTTGCTTTTTTTCCAGCCTGAGAGAGTCTTTTGTTCTGAGGTGGGTCTCTTGTAGACAGCATATATTTGGGTCTCGTTTTCTTAATCCATTCAGCTACTCTCTGTATTTTTATTGAAGCATTTAATACATTTATATTTAAGGTTATTATTGATAGGTACTTATCTATTGCCATTTTATTTCTTTATGCCTATGTTTTTCATTCTCTCTATTTCAACTTCTTATTGCAGCACTCCCTTTAACATTTCTTGCAATGCTAGTTTGGTGATGATAAACTCCTTTAGCCTTTTTTGTGTGTGTCTGGAAAGCTCTTTATTTCACCATCTATTTTGAATGATATAGCCTTGCTGGATAGAGTAGTCATGGTTTCAGATCTTTGCTTTTCATTAGCTTGAATACTTCATGCCATTCCATTCTGCTGACAGCCTATGGGAATTCCTTTGTAAGTAAACAGATTGCTTTTTTCTCTTGCTGCCTTTAAGATTCTGTCTTTAATTTTTGACATTTTAATTATGATGTGCCTGGGTGTGGGCCTCTTGGGATTCTTTTTTCTTGGAACTCTCTGTGCCTCCTGAACTTGTGTGACTTTTTTCCTTCACCAGGTTAGGGAAGTTTTCTGCCATTATTTCTTCAAACAGGTTCTCTAACCCTTGCTTACTTTCAACCCTTTCTGGCCTTCTTATGATGCGAACATTGTTACTTTTCATGTTGTCCCACAGCTCCCTTAAACTGTCCTGTTTTTTAATTATTTTTTCTTTTTGGTTCTCTACTNTTTCTGGCCTTCTTATGATGCGAACATTGTTACTTTTCATGTTGTCCCACAGCTCCCTTAAACTGTCCTGTTTTTTAATTATTTTTTCTTTTTGGTTCTCTACTTGAGTGATTTTTTTCTATCCTGTCTTCTAATTTGCTGATCCGATCCTCAGCTTCCCCTCATCTGCTGTTTATTCCTTCTAATGTTTTATTTATTTCTACTGTGTCTTTCTTAATTTCCTTCATAGTTTCCGTTTCTTTTTTCATGCTGTTGAGCGTCCTTATGATCAGTATTCTGAACTTTATATCTGATAAGTTGCTTATCTCCACTTTATTTAGCTCTTCTTCTGAAGGATTCTTTTGTTCTTTCAACTGGGGCTTGTTTTTTTCTCTCCCCATTTTGGCTACCTGTTTGGATTTGTTTCTGTGTATTAGTTAGATCTGGTAGGACTCCCAGTCTTTTGGGTGGTCTCTGGTGCAGGCCAATGTCAGATGCTGTTTGTGACTGGCCTTGAGTACCCTGTTTGAAGCTTTCTGCACTCCACAGCTTGTGGTTCCCTCTGCTGGGACTGGGTGTGTTTTCTATATTTTCTATTTTTATATTTAATCTTGTGAATGAATAATTTTTCAAATTACAGGAGAGTAAAATTTTGTATAGTTATCAAATGTATCTACAGATAAAAAGTAGATATTGAAGTAAAAATGGGAAAGTACTTCTTTGCTTTTAAGTCTTTAACTTTTTATTTTTTCATGCTTTTTTATGTAGAAAAAAAGGGGAGTACATTTTTTAAAATTAAATTTTAAAATTTTGAGATAATTGTAGGTCTTATGTAATTTTAAGGAAACTATACAGACATATTCCCTGTACCCTTTTCCCCTAATGAAAACATCTTGCAAAACAAGTATAATAGCACAACCAGGATATCGGTATTGATACAGTTAAGATACAGAACAATTCCATCACCACAGGCATCCTTTTTCCCATTTATAGTCACACTCATTTCTTTTGTGCTCTTACCTGCTCTTTACTCCTGGCAATATAATTATGTGATTATATTTTTCTCCATTTATATAATTTTGTAATTTCAAGAATGTTATATAAATGGACTCATAACGTATATAATATTTTGGTATTGGCACTTTTCACTTAGCATAATTATGGAGAGACTCATCCACATTGTTGAATGTACCAATAGTTTGTTCCTTTTTATACTATTCTATGCTATAGATATACCACACTTTGTTTTCTGGGGGGTTTCCAATTTTTAGCTGCTCTAAATAAAGCTGCTACATACGTTCATTCACAGATTTTGGTGTGAAAGTAAGTATAAAAAACTACTCATTATTTTTCTCTGTGAACACTGTTTACAATACTTCTGAACCAGATGTGTGGGTCTCCCCGCCCACACACACACACCAACCAATTCTCCATTTCTCAGCAGACACCTACTAGATAGCCTACAGTTTAACTCAATTCTGACATTATCTGCCTGGAGTTTGCATCAGGTCCCATAAGTTATGGGCTCAGTCCTACAAGTCTGCTCGAATTTCAGATGCCAATCACAAGTACAAGTTGTCACCTGTGTTTCTGAATGATTGGCTAAAAATTGGAGTTCCCATGACTGCCTCTTTGGGTTTGAAAATTTGCTATAATGGTTCATAGAACTCAGGAAAACAGTTTACTTACTAGATTACCAGTATATTATGAAAGGATACAACTTAGGAACAGCCAGGTAGAAGAGATGCATAGGGCAGGGCTTGGTGGACTGGAGGTTCCATGCCCTCCAGATGTGTCACTCTCTCAGCACCTTCATGTGTTCACCAACCTGAGAGCTTCCAAACCCCACACTTTAGGGATTTTTATGGAGAATTTATTGTGTAGGTGTGATTGATTAAATCACTGGCTATTGGTGATTATTTCAACCTCAAGTCCCTCTCCCTTCCCCAAAGTTCCTTGAGTTGGGGAGTAGGGTGAGCTGGGGGAGTGGGGCTGAAAGTTTGAATCCTCTACAGTCATACCTCATTTTATCATGCTTTTTATTGTGCTTCCCAAATATTTCCCCTTTTTTTTAAGAAATTGAAGGTTTGTGACAACCCTGTGTTGAGCAAGTCTATCAGTGCCATTTTTCCAACAGCACTTGCTTACTTTGTGTGTCTGTGTCACATTTTGGTAATTCTCCTGATATTTCATACTCTTTCATTATTATTATATTTATTATGTCTTATTATATTTGTTATCAGTGATCAGTGATCTTTGATGTTAGGATTGTAATTGTTTTGGGGTACCATGAACCATGCCCATATAAAGCAGTGAACTTAATTTCTAAATGCTCTATGTGTGTTCTAACTGCTCCCCTGGACCAGCCGCTCCATGTCTTTCTCTCTCCTCGGCCCTCCCTATTGCTGGGGTTACAACAATATTGAAATTGGGCCAATTAGTAGCCCTACGATGACCTCTAAGTGTTCCAGTGAAAGGAAGAATTGTGCCTCTCACTTTAAATTAAAAGCTAGAGAAGATTAAGCTTTTCGAGTATACTGTAGGAGCTCCAACCCAGGGAACTATTCTTTGCTAATCCGAGAAAACCACGCGGGACCAGAGGGGAAAGTCATAGCCTTTATTACTTACATCTGGGGAAGACCCAATGGTGGCCTATCAGGTGAGTTTCTGCACTCAGCCAGGGTAGGATAGGGGCTTATGTAGCAGAGGGGAGAGAGAGAGGGAGGGAGCCATGCTGGGAAAGGCCTGCATGCAGAACAAGGCCAAACAGAGAGTCTGGTGAGAGGCTTGTTACCTATCAAGGATGTGGGAAACACTTGGATCTGAGCTGCTCTGCTCCTTGTGCCACTGGCCAGGCAGATACCTTCCCACTGACTGGGAGGGGAAATTGGGCTATATTCTCGTGTGACCCTACAGTGAGGAAGGCATGAGCAAAGCTGAGATAGGCCAAAACCTAGGCCTCTTGTACCAGTTAGCTAAGGAAAAATTCTTGAAGGAAATTAAAAGTGCTATTCCACAATGAACATCTCTGACAGACACTATGTTAGTCATGGCAGTGTGGCTGGTGACAGTAAAAATGACCCACAAATGGAAGCAGCTGGCTTCACAGCTCAGGTGATTATCCTGAACCATCCAGGCTGGATGTGCACCTGTGCTGAACTGTCACACAGCTCACATTGCTTGCAAATTTGCTGAGCTGAAGATTGATCGTCACTCTGGGGAAAAGCTGGAAGATGGCCAAAGTTTTTGAAACCTGATGTTGCCATTGTCTCTGGTTCCTAGCAAGCTCATGTGTGTTGAGAGCTTCTCTGACTATCCTCCTCTGGGCTGTTTTGCTGTTTGTGACATGAGTTGCTGTGCGTGTTATCAAAGCAGTGGACAAAAAGGCACCTGGAGCTGGCAAAGTCACCAAGTCTGCCCAGAAACCTCAGAAGGCTAAATGAATATTATTCCCAGTACCTGCCACCCCAGTCTTAATCAGTCTTAATCTGTTCAGTCTCAGAACTGTTTATCTCAATTGGCCAGTTAAGTTTAATAGTAAAAGACTGGTTAATGACTATAATGCATCTTAAAACCTTCAGAAGGGAAGGAGAATGTTTTGTGGACCATTTGGTTTGTGTGTGTGGCAATTTTTAACTTATTAGTTTTTAAAGTCAGTACTTTTAATGGAAACAACTTGACCAAAAATCTGTCACAGAATTTTGAGACCCATTAAAACAAAGTCTAATGAGGGGGGAAAAAGTGCTACTCCAGTGAACACAAGAATGGTAAGAAAGCAAAGCAACCTTATTGCTGGTATGGAGAAAGTCTTAGTAGTCTGGTTAGAAGATCAAACCAGCCACAACATTGCCTTAAGCCAAAGCCTGATCTAGAGTAAGGCCTGAGAGGTGAGGAAGCTGCAGAAGAAAAGTTTTAAGATAGCAGAGGTTGGTTGATCAGATTTAAGGAAAGCAGCCTTCTTTATAACATAAAAGTGCAGGTGAAACAGCAATTGCTGACGTAGAAGCTGCGGCAAGTTACCCAGAAGATCTAGCTAAGATAATGAATGCAGGTGGCTGCACTGAACAGCAGATTTTCAACTGGATGAAACAGCCTTATCTTGGAGGATGCCATCTAGGACTTTCATAGCTAGAGAAGGGAAGTTAGTGCCTGGCTTTAAAACTTCAAAAGTCAGGCTGACTCTGTTGTTAGGAGCTTATGCAGCTGGTGGCTTTAAATTGAAGCCAATGCCTCTATAGATCATTCTGAAAATCCTAGGGCCTTTAGGAAGTATGCCAAATCTACTCTGCCTGTGCTCTGTAAATGGAACGATAAAACCTGCATGGCAGCACATCTGTTTATAACATGGTTTATTGAATATTTTAAGCCCATTTAGAGACCTACTGTTCAGAGGAAAAGATTCCTTTCAAAATATTGCTCCTCATTAACAATGCACTTGATCACCGAAGAGCTCTGATGAAGATGTACAATGAGGTGAATGTTGTTTCCATGTCTATTAACACAACATCCATTCTGCAGCTCAATGATTAAGGAGTAATTTAACTGTCGTGCCTTATTACTTAAGAATACATTTTTTAAGGCTGTAGCTGCTCTAGGTAGTGATTCCACTGATGGACATGGTCAAAGTCAATTGAAAACCTTCTGGAAAGGATTTACCATTCTAGAAGCCATTAAGAATAGTGACTCATCAGGAGAGGTCAAAATATCAACATTAATCAGAGTTTGGAAGAGGTTGATTACAGCCCTCATGGATGACTTTGAGGAGTTCAAGGACTTAACAGTGGACGAGTGTAGAGGTGGTGGAAATGGCAAGAGAACTAAAATTAGAAATGGAGCCTGAAGATGTGACTGAATTGCTACAATCTCATAATAAAACTTGAGTGGATAAGGAGTTGCTTCTTATGGATGAGCAAAGAAAGTGGTTTCTTGTGACAGAATATATTCCTAAAGATGCAGTGAAGACTGTTGACTTGACAAAGGATTTAGAATATTTCATAAACTTAGTTGATAAAGCAGAGGCAGGGTTTGAGAGGATTGACTCCAATTTGGAAAGAAGTTCTACCCTGAGTTAGCTGTTATCAAACAGCATTGCCTGCTTCAGTGAAATTAATCAGGAAAGGAAGAGTTAATTGATGTGGGAAACTTCATTGTTGTTCTGTTTTAAGAAATTGGCACAGCCAACCCAGCATTCAGCTACCACCACCCTGATCAGTCAGCAGCCATCAACATTGAAGCAACTCCCACCACCAGCAAAAAATTTACGATTTGCTGGTTTCAGATGATGATTAGCAGTTTTAGCAGTAAAGGGTTTTTTAAATTAAGATGTATACATTTTTGGACATAATGCTATTGTACAGTTAATAGACTACATTTTAGTGTAAACATAACTTGTATATACACTGGGAAACCAAAAAATTTGCATGACTCTCTTTATTGCAGTGGTGTGGAGCTGAACCTGAAATATCTCCTAGGTATACCTGTATTGGCTTGGTTGGTTCCCCTGGCAACCAGCTCCCACCTTGTGGTTATCTGGGGGCTTTCCAAAAAATTGCCTTATTAGCATAAACTCAGGTGTAGTTGAAAGGATTTTGTTATTAATAACAAATAATAGGGATTTCAAAGAGTGTGTTAACCTAGATGCACAAAAACAATGGCGAGAACTTGCTTAAATCAAAAATAAATATTTTACAAAAGAATGCCTGGGGTATGACTGCCCATTTAGGAATTTATGGTCAGATCATCCACTGAGGTTACTTTTAGTTACTGAACTTATACATATCCCCTTTTCTTTCATAAAAGTGTGGTTTGCAAATACTTTTTCGTACTCTTTAACTTGTCTTTTTATCCTCTTAGATAGGGTCTTTCATGGAATAAAAGTTTTAAATTTTAAGTTTAATTTCTCAGTGTTTTTCTAGATAGATCATAGAAAATGTCAAGTCTAAGTACTCTTTACTTAACCTTAGACCTGAAGATTTTCTCTTATTTTAAAAAAAAAAATTTGTAAACAGAGAGTATCATCCAGAATGCTTTACTTGTGTTTGAAAGTTGAGGACAATTCCTTAAAAAAAAGAAAAAGATTGGCCATTCATAAATCTGAGCAGCTTATATTTTAGAAATAAACACTTGAGAGAATCAAATTACCAATCAATTATTAGCATAAACTTTTTGTATATCGGGTTTAGGGTTATATTTTGATTACTTTTCTCCTATTATAATTTCAGGATGCCTTTTTGAAAATCATTCGAAATGAGGGCATTAAATCCCTGTGGAGTGGCCTTCCCCCTACCTTGTAAGTTGAAATTTAATATTTTCTTTTACTAAATGATGGTGGTGTTTTGTTTTGCTTTATAATCTGCATGCTTAAACAAAATTGTACATTTTTAATTTTAGAACTTTTTCATATTTTACAGCATTGTTTTGTTAGTCCCATAACCACCAACACATTTGATGATTTGCTAGGACTCACAGGACCTAAGACGGGTATATTCATGTCTGTGATTTTGTTAAAAAAACACAGATGAAGTTGACCAGGCAACAGGCTGCTTTATGACCTCGCACAGGATGTGCTTATTTTTTCAGCATTGAACTACAGCATCCTGTTTAAAGTGTTTCTGCCTTAAAACACACTTGAATTTTAAGTCTAGGGCTTTTATTGAGGGTTGATTGCATAGGCATATTCAATGTTTGTGACCAACTCTGATTACCAAAACTCCAGACCCCTAAAAGGAAAGCATATGTTTACCAAAAATCACATCATTTGCACAAATCAATCTAGACAAGTTGGATTAGTGCTCCAGGTATACAGAAAAACCTTGTAATGGGGAATATTCCAAGGGCTAAATTTCTTGGAGTTGGCCAAAGGTCAAGCATGCAAATAATGCCTTCCTGAACATGTAGAAGATTTGAGCAGCCCGGCTTCTTGTATGGCGCACAAGCATAACTTTTTTGTTCAGAAATTAAGAATTTGGTGTTTGAATTTTTATTTATTATACTAAAATAATGAAATATTGTGGTAAGTATACTTTTCCTTTTCCAGATAATTTTAATTCTCTACTAACTAGCTATTATATGAATTAATGTGATAAACTAGTAAGGCCAAATTAAATGTCCCAACTAATACCTTGCCCTTATATACCTTGTTTCTTTCTAATTTTTCTTTTGATAGTGTACTTAGAGGCATATATTTTAAACACTGCTTAAGGTTATAAAGTCAGTGGTAGATCCAAGACCAGCAGTCAATCGTATTTGTAAATTCTCATCATCAAATTTCATTAAAGAACATTAGGCATTCCAAAGTATAGTCTGTGAATGTCCTTTAGTTAGTCCATAAACATAGACAGATTTCTTATTGCATTAATGTTTATGACATGACAGTGCCTGTAACTCTGTTTAATTTAATTAATAATTCCCTTTTGATAAAGAATGTCATCGGAATTTCCTCAGTACTAGTATATGTAAGTCTGCCATCATTAATTGTAATTTATTTCCAGTTTTGTAAGCAGGTATTTTACAATTGCTGTAGCACTTTTTACATTAGTGAGTTTCATGTTATGGAATATAATTGGAAGGGAAGATTTGGGAGACCAAAAACAGATAGAACAAGTCTAGGAGATAGAGAAGTGTGTCTTCCTTTATCTCTTCCTACTTTTGATCTCACTGATACACGGACTTATTTTCACAACTAGAATGTAAACTTTTGGAGGGAAGATACCTATTTTAAATTTTGTTGTAGCCTACTGAGTTAATATTTTAAATAAAAGAAAAATTGATCTCAGAGAGTGATTCGTTCTGGTTTTCAGCTTATACAAAATATAAGGAATTTAGCTTGAATTTAATAATATATTTACATATATTTTATGTAAATCTTTTTGTTTGTGTGTTTCTGACAGAGTAATGGCAATTCCTGCCACCGTTATTTATTTTACCTGCTATGATCAATTAACTGCTCTCCTGAGGTCTAAATTAGGAGAAAATGAAAGCCGCATACCAATTGTTGCTGGAGTTGTGGCCAGATGTAAGTAATAAGTTTACTATATTTTCATTTTGATTTCTGTTCAAAGCTTCTTTTAAAATTTTGACATTCACAGAGAATTTGTACAAAATTCAAAGTATTGGTAATATATACTGTGCATTTGTAGTTTGTACTAATTTGTTAATATTTATACTCTAGAAATCATATGGTATGGTAATTGCTATCAGAATGAAATGGGATCAACCCATTCCTGTCAGATTTTGGACAGAGATTTTAGAATGAATTTAGACTTTTAACTTTAGATTCTAGATTTTAGGATGGCATCCAATTGATGGCAAAGTCCTGAATCATTTTCTTTATTGATTTTGAGATTCAGTGTTTATTCAGAAGGAAATTTGCCTCTATGCAGAAGGACATTTTTCTCTGAGTTGGAGTGATGTATGATATTTCTGGAACTGCTCTTGAAAGAGTTGAAACCAGAAAGAGTAAGTTATATGAAAACCTTTATTAAGAAATACCTTTATCAAGGAAAAAAATCTGCACCAGTATGTTGGCATTAGGTACTTGATTTTAAGGTTTGCAGACATTTCAGAATAGAAGTTTAAAATATAAAATGCATAAACTATTAATTTTGCATGTGTGTTTGCATAGTACATGGCTCTGGTTTTGTTTTTTAATATTTGTTTGTATTAGTTGGTGCAGTAACTGTAATAAGTCCATTAGAATTGATAAGAACCAAGATGCAATCTAAGAAGTTTTCTTACAAGGAACTGCATCAATTTGTCAGCAAAGAAGTATCTGAAGAAGGTTGGATTTCGCTTTGGAAGGGCTGGGCTCCTACTATTCTTAGAGATGTACCATTCTCAGGTAGGATTTATCTTATTAGTATCTGCTAAATTTTAAATGGCTTTGTCTTATTTATATATTACTTTAAAATCAACTATATTTTAAGTCCCTCAAGGCTAAGGGTGAGCTATCTTCTTCAGTAACCACAAACTCCTAGTTCAATGTTGGGTTCTCAGGGCTTTATGAGTCTTTATTGAATGGTTTCTAATTCAAGCTTGGTTTTATTTTCTTCTTGTGTTTAATTTCTTTTCAAACATTAATTGGTATTTATTTCTATTTACATAATACAAACTATCTTTAATTCTAAGTGAGTCATAATTAGTAAGGTAGGTAAACTACTCCAAATCAAAAGGTCACAAAACACATTTAAGAATATCTGTTGCCCAGCCAGCATGGCTCAGCAGTTGAGCATTGACCTATGATCCAGGAGATCGAGGTTCAATTCCTGATCAGGGTACAAACCCAGGTTGCGGGCTCGATCCTGGTGAGGGGTGTGCAGGAGGCAGCCGATCAGTGACTCTCTCTCATCACTGATGTTTCTCTCTCTCTCTCTCCCTCTCCCTTCCTCTTTCTGAAATCAGTAAAACTATATTTAAAAAATTACCTGTGAATAATATTGACTCCTACTTTTTTCAGTTATCAAAGGTAAAAGTCTTTCCCATTAAATGAGTGTCCTGTAAACAAGACTGTTATAAACCTGATAGAAGATTGTGCTAATCATTCAATTATGCAAAGGGTGAAAATCATGAAAAAGAAGTGTAAATAAAGCTAACAAATAACTTGTAGAATGTGCACACTTCAGTACTATTTCTCTTGTGTATTATGGGAGTTTTCATTTAGACTGAGTAAAATCAGTAAGGACCTTTGCATTAATGTTATGCTTCCTTTTGTTCTCTTGAGTTAATCCTTTCTTTTGCTTCTCTCATTCACATCTCTGTGCATCTTTCCCTTTTCATTAGTGTTTTTCTTTAACATTTTATGATCAGTTATTATGTTGTTTAGAAACATACAATGTATAATTAGTGTATTTTTTATGTTTGTATTATATGATATTTGACACAGCAAAAGTAACATAGGTATAAATTATAAAGCATACTAATAAAATGAACACCTATGAAGTCACCACTTCAATATATGAACTAGAACATTGCAATTTTTAAAATCATGAAACCACATATATTCCCTCCACTATTACATCCCCACTCGTAACTACTATATTGAATTTTTCTTTATCATTGATTTGATTTTTAAAAATAGTTTTACCACATATGTGTTATTGCTCAACAGTGTATTATTTAGTTTTGCCTGTTTTTGAACTTTAAAAATTGCTTATTTTATTTAAATTTCCTTAAGGTTTATTCTTATTTTTATGTGTAACTGTTTTCTTTAGTTTTACTCATTTATGCATGAGTAAGCAAGTAAGCAATGCTGCTGTGAACAGTCTCTTACTATACAAGAATTTCTCCAGTATTAGATTTGATTAGATAATATCAAGCTCTTTTCTAAAGTGGTTGTGCAGATCTACACACCTACCAGCTTCACTTCATACCTTCCCCAACTTTCATTGTCATGGTTCTTAATTTTTGTTTAGTAATTTAAAGTGGTGATCTCATTAACTTACATTTTTCTGATTATTGAGATTGGACACTGTTTCATTGGCAGTTGATTTGGGGTTATGGAGTGAAATAAGTACTCGTTTCCCCAACAAGTGGGTACATAGTTATCCCAACATCATTTACTGAATAACCATACTTTCTGCAGTGATTTGCAGCATCACCTCTGACATAGCAAATTTTGACGTATGCATGGGTCTGTTTCACTGGCCAGTATATCTAATCCTGTGCTAATACCACAGTACTGTCTAAATTACTAGTGCATTATTATAAAAACCACTTGATATTGCCTTATGTTTCCCTTAGGAATGTCATATCTCTTTATTAGATATAACTGTTCTTTAAAGTGTTTCAGTAGAGATTTAAAATTTTCTTCAAAAAAGGTTATATACCACTTAAAAAACAAGATTCATTTGTAGGTACACCCACCCTTTCCCAACTTCTGGTAGCTATTTTAAAATCTCTATTTAAAAAAAACACAAAAAGGGTTTTCTAAATCTTATGGCTGAGGCAGTGTTAAAATTGATTTTTCTCTACTAGCTTATGTTCAGCTATTTTTAAAACTGTTACAAATTCTCATTTGTCTTCATATCTTTTGGGTTTCCTATGTAGACAGTAACATGTAAATTATAACTACTTTGTTTCTTCGCTTTTAGTCATTATAGTTCTTATTTGTTTCATCTTACTGGGCTTCCCAGTAAAGTTTTGAATAGTAGTAATGATAATGTTGCATCCTATCATTTTCCTTCTTCTAAAGGAAGTAATTCTGTTGTTCCACCATTAGTAAGTATTTTTGGTATTGGTTCTTGATGCATGTCCTTTATCTAAAGAAGTTCTCTTTTAAGACTAGTTTTCCAAACAATTTCTTTCTTTGCTTTAAATGAAAGCGATCCCGCGGTTCTGTCAGTGTGGTGTGTGGCACCTAAAGGATTTATTATATTTGCTTCCTTTACATTCCTCAGATAACCCACTTTAGTCACAGTGTATGATCTTTCATGAAATTCCCCTGGCTTTAGTTGCTTTTTATTATTTAATTTCTGTAGGATTTGACACCAAGGTTCATGAATGACATTGGCCTGTACTTTTCCTTTCTCCTACTGTCTTTGTCAGGTTTTGGAGTTAAAGTCCTACTTCACCAATGCATAGTTTTTTTGTTTGTAAGACTGCTAGAGTATCACTGAGAATTTGGTTCCTTTTTTTAAAATTTCATCTGGTATGTGTCTAAACAGAAAGCAAGGTGTGTTAAGGTTAGAATGTCTCTTTTCCTTTAATAGAAAACCTCATAAATATTTTCTTCAAAGTCCACATTTCATTTCTAAATGCAAGTTCATTTCATTCTGTTTTTATAGCAATGTACTGGTATAACTATGAAGTTTTAAAGAAGTGGTTGTGTGAGAAATCTGGTTTATATGAACCGACATTTATGATCAACTTTACTTCAGGGGCATTGTCTGGTTCTGTAAGTTTATTCTTTTGTTGTTAATATGCCAGAATGATGATAATTGTCTTATTAAAACAGAACAAAATATTGTATAGCATTTCATGTCTATTGAGATAACACTTTTGAGCTGCACTGCTTTAAAAATTTTCGGAGTATTGACAATCCTATTTTGAGGAAATAAATTACTAGCCACTCAAATATTGTAAAATGCACTTTGTCTATGTTTTTACTGTATTACAAATACTTTATTATATTATTCTGAACAACTTTTGGACTTGTTAGATAACTACAGTTATGATAATTACAATAGTTTAAATAGTGCTTTGTTATTACAAGATATTTTGCAATTTGTTCATTAAATGCCAGGTCTAACTAGGTAATATTGAATGGAGTGTCATCTCATATGTATAATTGAGTTGAATAAATATAATTTCATTCTCATCTGCTAATTTCTGCTTTTTTGGGAACATTTTAACTAAGTACTTTTTTAAAAAAAATATTTTTAAATTGATTTGAGGAGAAACATCGATTTGTTCCACTTATTTATGCACTCTGGTTGATTCTTGTATGTGCCCTGACTGGGAGTTGAACCCACAACTTTGGTGTATTGGGATGACACTCCAACCAGCATAGCTACCTGGCCTGGGCTGGCTAAGTACTTCTTAAAAGAATTTTAACAAAAATTACATTTGAAAGGGAGGAATCTCAAATGACCATTTTTGGGGTAGTAGAGAGTTCTCCCTTTCCACTCCTCCACATAATGGGAAGTCATGTAGTAGACTTTGTGCAGATTCATATCACCATAATTTTGGCCACAGAGAGTTTTCTTGTATCCACATACTTACAAAATGAATTTGTGATGACTTAGAGTGAGGTGTTGACATGCTGGAATCAAATAAAAACAAGAGTGAAGATGGAGACGGGCAAGAAAATATTGGAATAATTGTATCAGAAAATTTAGGATAAGAAAGCCATTATGACTGAGCTCAAAGTGTAGCTTTGAATATACCCAGGTCTGAGATCTGTCAAACTAGGCCTAGTGGGTTATAAGCCTATTAATGCAAAAGAGCAATTACTTTTTATAACAACTTGAATAGTTCTAATGCCAGCAAACTCTTTTCATTATCCCTCTTATGAGATGATTAAATGTAATTTAATTGTATTTAATTTGTATCTTAATCCATTATGAAGAAAAACAAGTACTGTTTATTTTTAGAAATTCCTAACAGTTGGAATTACAGCACCAATTAACTTACACATAAATGCTTAATATCTAAAAAAAAAAATGTTTAATAATGGCGTTAGCATGTTTTTCCAGCTTTCCAGTAATATGAAGTTTTTTTTTTAACTACTTCTGTTTAACATAAAAGATTGATTTAAAAAACTTAATGATCTAGAAAATATTGCTACTGCCTTTTAATGATCTAGAAAATATTGCTGCTGACTTTTCAAATAAAAATTTGTCTCTGCAACAGAAAAAGTATGTCAGTGGCCCTGGCTCAGTTGAAGTGTCGTCTGGTACACCAAAAGGTTGTGGGTTCGATCCCTGGTTGGGGCACATGTAGGAGACAACCATTCATTGTTTCTCTCACATCAATGATTCTCTCTCTCCCCCCCCCTTCCTCTCTCTCTAAAATCAGTAAAAACATATCCTCACGTGAGGATTAAAACAAAAAAAAGTATGTCAGTGGACAGTGTCCATACTTCCTGTCAGAAAACAGAATAACCTAAACCACACCCCATCATTTTAGAAAGTGTCAGAGATTGTGTAAGTGGAGGCACAATAATTGATTTATCTTACCTGAGATCTTTGAAACTGATTTCAAGAACTTAAATCAACATTTTTCAGTTGAAATAAAATATAAATTATTTTAAGGGTCATTTTATGAGTGTATTTATCAAATGTGAGTCCAGAAGCAAAATAAAAGACCAGGTTTTATTTACTGTGCATGGCTATTATATCAAATATTATGAGACATTCTTAAGGGATTTTAATTACTCTTTTAAAAAAAACTTTCTTAATTAGGTCATTGTGAAAATAATTGTTAAATTGGTTCATTTTGAGATAAGTTTTCATAAACGTTATTTGTGAATTATTGTAATGATATTTGATAAATGTGTCAAAATTCATAAAAAGGTATATAGAACTAAAAAGGTTCAAAGTCCATTTTCTTTATTTAAAGTTAATTTTTTATTGTATTTGTTTTTTAAACATTTGTTAGAAAATTTTAAGTGCTTGCAAGATACTTGAGAATTTCTGCTTTAAAATGTGTATTACACCTTCATGTATCGTAAAGGAGTAGTGGAAGACACAGGCACACCAGGGTTTGCGAACACTGGTTTTTGAGTCAGAGAGGTCTGGTTGGAATTCCGTCTCTGCCACTAGTAGTTGTTGACCTCAGGGAAGTAGGGGAAGTTTTCTGAGACTTTACTTACTCCTGAATTTTGGGAGAAATACATAAGACATACATCTATTTTCTTTAATAAAAGCTTTTATTTAAATATATCTGATTTTAAGTTTCAGTTTAGTTATGCTTTTCAGTATTATCCTTACTAATGAATGTGCTAATTAAGAGAATGTAATTTTAGAAAAAATTTAAAGGCAGATTTAAATTAATCAATTTTACTCTTTGATAGTTTGCAGCCGTTGCAACTTTGCCATTTGATGTGGTAAAAACACAAAAGCAGACAGAACTTTGGATGTATAAAAGTCATAAAAGTAAGTTTAATTTAAAACATTTTTAAGATGCCATGACAATTTTTGGTTTTCTTTTCAGATACTAAGTTAGGAATATCTAAAATAGGGATAAGATTTTTTCCCCTCTGCTTTATTACTCTTTAACTGAAACTAATATACTCTTAGAATGGAATACCTAGGAAAAAATACTCTAAATCCAAACAAAAAAATTAAGCAGTCTTAAAAAGTCTTGTGGGTTTTGCTTGCCATCAGTTAAGTCTTATACCTGCTCTATGTAGAAGATTAAATTATATAAGGTTTTCTTGTTTGTTTTTCAAATAAATCTGAACAAATCAGGGTGAAAGATAGTAAATTACTGGGAAACCTTTTTCTCTTAATGCGTTTTAATTAGTATGTGTATACATTTTATTTGTGTATTTTTTTTGTGTTTATTTTTAGCTTCCCTTTTTTCCTGCTTATCACATCTATTTTTACTTCTTTATAACCTTTAATTTCTTCTAGAACAAAAGTGTACTCTTGGTTGCATCCACTAGATCTGTCATTATTATCTGTAGAAAGTGTAGCACACCCATTGGAAATGATCCATTATAAAATTCTGTCATATAAGCCTTGTGATAAGCCTATTATAATGTAAATAAGTCATTCTAACTCACCAGAATATTTTGCTTACAAAGTAAAATAAGTATTCTAATTTTGAAAAAAAACCTGGTTATAGACCTCTGAAAAGAAGTCTGATGAATATTAGTGAGAGCTTTGTCCTTGCCAAAGTCTAGTCCCCTCCCCACTTCCCTGTTTTAGGTGCAAGCCTTCTACCTTCCTATGCCCTAGCATCATCATCATTCATTCTACAGAGAGAAAGACTGAGACAGAGAGACATATATCTGTTGTTCCACTTATTCACTCATTGGTTGATTCCTATATGTGCCCTCACCAGGGACTGAACCTGCAACTGTGGCGCATCGGGACAACGCTCTAACCCACTGAGTACCTGGCCAAAACCTCATTCATAAGCTTTATGTTTGAACCTCAGTGACATCTATTTTTGCTGTTGTGTTTTTTTAATGCAAATGAATTATTTCTATTCTTCAGTTATGTGACTGGTTGCAAATAAGTGAGATGCTACTGTTAAAGGATAAATATGCCCTTTGGAGGAGACAGGACTGACCTAATTTATTTCAAGACTGGCACATCTATTCAGAAAGGTCTTAATAAAGCAGGACCTTACTAGGGAGAATAAACCATTTTCCTCAGAACCTCTTTTTAATAAAATAAAAATTTTTAATGTGTGCAATAAGAATCTAATGAAAAATGGTTATTTTTGGCTTTGAGAACCCCATGAATATTTCTATACATCTTAAAATTTTTCATTATGAAACTTTTTAAGATGTGGAAAAAAGTATAAAGGATACCCACTATATCAAGCTTAAGAAAAAAAACATCAGTTCAGAAGAAGCCTTCTGTATATTCCCCCTTGATTGTACCTAGTTCTGTACACCTTTAAACTTAACCTTTTTCTAAATTTTCTTTTTAATGAATCCAACTATTAAAAATAAGATTTAAAATAACTTTTTAGATAAACTTCTGTTCTTATTGTATTGAAATAATATAACCCCCAAAGGCCAAATACTATCTTATATGTAATATCTGCATTAGAATTGTTAATTTACAGTGATATCATTTTTTTTAACCATTAGTATCTATGCCTTTGCATATGTCTACCTGGTCTATAATGAAGAACATTGTTGCTAAGAATGGGTTTTCTGGATTATTTATAGGTAAGAATATTTGCTTTACCAAGTCATTGAATAAAATTATTACTTTTACTTTTAAATCTATCCTTCCTAAATTAACTTTTCAGCAGGAAATTATTGAAAATAATTCACATTTATGATTTCCTCCTAAACATCATTTCTAAGTTTAAAAATGTTAAATGACAATAGATTTAATAACAGTAAGATAAAATTTCTATATAAAGTAACATGGAGTTAAATGAGGAGGTTGGGAGTAAGTTTACCTTGTTCTTTGATACCAGTTTATGTCACAATATTTGATATATCACTTCTTTAATTTGATCACTATAAGAATGAAACCAAATCAATAAGTTTTTAAAAATAAGGTAAAATTTGTTCTGATATTTTTCTATTCTCTTTGCAGGCCTAATTCCCCGTTTAATTAAAGTTACTCCTGCTTGTGCCATTATGATCAGTACATATGAATTTGGAAAGGCTTTTTTCCAGAAACAAAATGCTCGAGGACAGCAATAATAGTGATGCTGTTTCAACTTGAAATAACCATGGCCAAATAATAAGGTGGAGACTCTTAGGCAAGAAGCTTTATTTTACCTTACAATGATTTTGTATCTTTTTTGCTGATAATTTAAATAGAAATTTCTAACCTGACTCTAAATCATAATTCTTATTTTAAAATAAATTTTGTTATCCTAATATTTTAAAAATGTTTTGATTTTAGAGAGAGAGGAAAGGAGAGGGAGAGAGAGAAACACCGATGAGAGAGAAACATCAACTTCGTTCTATCAATCTGCTGCCTCCTGCACACCCCTAGCCGGGGATCAAGCCTGCAACCCAGGCATGTGCCCTGACCTGAAATCGAACCATATTAAATTTGATATTATTAATACAGTATCAGTCACAGAATTTCCCTTGGTGATATGCATGTCACATTAGTATGCTAGAACAAGAGATTAAACAGGCAGTTTACCTGAAGAAAGTTTTTGGTCACTGTAGGCTAATGCCTAAGAAATTTAGCTTATGACTATAGGAATGAAATAAAAAGATTATGGCAGGACAAGAAATCATATTCTTTTTCTATATTTGTTTGACTTTCTTAGGATATACACACTGTAAGAAATGCACTTTATTGCAGTCTATGTGTATTTTATTAAAATGTGAAACATTTTCCCCCCTAAAATAGGTAATATATTTAGATGTTAAGTCTCTAGTATTCACAGGGGAATTAATGTATGTATTACAGTAGAAAAGAGCTCGTATGTTTTACCAAAAATAAACTATATGGGATTTGTATGTAACCTTTTGTTTTTATCCTGTGTTGATTTACCTTAAATGTGCAACATAAATATTCATAAAAATTATTTATGATTTGAACTTTTATTTTCATTAAAATATTTTGCATAAATTAAAATTATCACTGTGCCTTTAGCTAAATATTTTCATATAATGTGTGTATGACTGTTTATCTTGAATATTGCTATTTAACAATATTAAACTTACCTTGGTTTTGCTCTGCTTCTTTTTGATAACTTATTGGTAGAAAAAAGCAGAAATATTGAGATTTAGAACTATGCTTCAAAAAGCAGTCACATATTTCAACTTACTATCACTTATAAATACCAGAAGGGAAATTTCTACCCCAACCCCAATATTGATGGCACGTGGAAAATTCTTATCATTTATGGCTAAAGTAGCTTTCATCTAATTCCCTAGTAGTTTTTCTAACACATGAAGTGTTATCTGAATGAAAGAAAGCTTCAGCTTTCTCTGTACTTTAGTAAATAAGCATTAATACTTTTGTTAAAAAAAAAGTAGCAACCAAAAGGAGTTTGGCCAGAAATTGTATTTTCGGTAATGTTCCTGAAAGGAAACAGTTTCATTTTATTAATGATAAATTTTCTAACAAAGTAAGTTTATGTGTATATTTTTAAGAAGAAATATCTTATTCAGGTATTATGTTTGCTACTTTTCATATAATACACATTTGACTTTTTAAGAGTATAGAGTTAAAATAAATTTTCCTTTTATTTCTAGGAAAATTATTCACTATGCTTACTTAATCACATATGACTCCTTTAAATTCTTCCCTCCTTTCCAGGGCACAAATTCCAGGGATGTGGGAAAATGTAGTCTATCACTTTTGAACTTTTTTCCAAAATGTAATCTGTCATTCGTCATTTATTGAGACCTTTAATGTGATAGGCAGTATGAAAAACACTGGAGATAAGAGGTTTCAGGGTGTTGGGGGTATAAATGGTGACAGGAAAAAAAGACAACAACAAACTGTCAGAAACTGTCGCTGGCCTCAAGTAGGTTTCAGATCTGTGATTCCTGGAGGTCTGCAAGGGGAGTAAGGGGAAAGTGAGGGCTTCTCCACTCTACCTGGAGTGGAGGGGGAGAGGGCAGGAGATGCTTGGAGGATCAGGACAGGTGACTCAAGTCAAATATACCTGGAGGCCGGCAATGGGATGTGCCCCAGTGGTTCGAGCGAAGGGTATACATGGCGATGTGGCAGATCAGATTGGGAGTGCAGTCAGAGGCTTTGTGTGCCAGAGGAGAAACAAGAAGGCAACAGGAAATGAAGGAAGGACTTGGGGTACAGCTCTAATAATTACAGAGTTGGGGTATTGGTGTGTTCTTTGCAAGATCAGCATTTCTTTTTAATGAAAGAAAATAGGGTAGCAGTAGTACAACAGAGAACACCGTATGTCTCGTAGTAGGCCAAGTGTTGTGTAGTGAAAATTTGGTTTTAGTTGTTTGTTAGAGTTGGGTTTTAGAAAAGTAACTGACAGTATGGGAAATATGACTTACAATAAGGTGACGTATTTTAAAACAATCTCAAGTTTGGTTTGGACTAAAATATGCTTTTAAAGGGTACTGTTAATGACATCGATATAATTTTATCTCCCCCTTTCTATCAGTTAAAAAGAACAAATGCTGCACCTACATAGAAGCTGCTGTGCTTAGAGGAAGAGCAAAGTGAACTAACTCAAAGCCCTGATTTTCAAAGCAGATATGTGACATTTCAGAGGTAATCCAGTGTATTAGTTTATCAAAATTGGAGATTTTTACCTAATGATAGGAACTTTATAAAGAATTTCCATAAGTTGTTAATGTGAGGCATTTTTAACCACTTGAAAACTTGTATGTAAATCTAATAAAGATGACTTACAAACTGACTTAAGGTTTCTGTCCATCGTAATTAGTAGCTTGCATTTGGCACTTACCTATTACAAACATACATATGATTTCCTTTAGTGCTGACATCTTCCTGATGCCTTCACGCAGGTGCTGAGAAGATGGTGATGTTTCCATGTGACAGGTGAGAAAGCAAAGGGCCACTGTATAATCCAGTCAGTAACACTGTCAGAGCCACTGCTGAACTGTACCACTTCAGCAGTAGTTGTATATTCTAAAGTGTGTCATGTTTTATAAAAATTAAAATGTATTTCATTTTATATGAATTGAAATAAGGATTTCTCTGAAACCATTTTCATATTAGTATTTTAGGTGTTAAGTAATGTACTTTCACCATATTTGTCAGTTCATTGTGCAACCTGAATCAAGTAACTTTATGTTAAGGATAAAATAAGACCACTAAATGCATGGTACAAAATGTTTAATATACATGCAACAAGTATAATACATCAAAGCAACAAAATACACATGGAAATATGAGCATATAATTCAGCATTCTATTTGGAGGAGGGTATATGAACAAGGAACACTACCCAGAACTAAAGATTGAGACATAGTTGTTTCCTCATGCACACATTAACTATCTCTATAACTAGTGTGAACTGTGTAGAAAACTTAATTCACAGTAGCAGATGAATTTTATACCAAGAGCTCCAAGAAAGGAGGAAAAGTCATGATCCTCAGGTGTCATGTCTAAATCTGCATTGAGCAGCATGTTAAGATGCACAAGTTACAGTACACATTAGACAAATTGAAAAATTGTATCAATTATGGAAACTTGAATTAACTTTCTGTATTATAAAAATGTATGGAAAAAATTTAACAATGATTTTTTTAAATTATTGAAGGAAAATGTCAAGTTGAGACTGGACTGTGAATGATAAAGCATTTAAACATTCTGAAAGTTCTTAGGAAAACAGCAATAGTGCTTAAGGCCAGCCTAAAAGTTTTGAAGTTCCCCTCCTTAACCATTTCTCACTTCTTCCTCCCAAGATTTCCACTGTCCTCATTTTATACCTTCCACCCCCCATGCTGAGTAAAAACTGCTTTGGATACCTTACAGTAAGGTATTCAGAATTAAGAGATTAAAGGTACCATTTCTTGATATTTGCATTTCTACAAGTACAAAAGCCTTAAGCTAAAAGAATAAAGCTCTGAGTAGTCTGGCACATCTAAGATAACTTATTTTAAGGGCTTCTAGGCCTCCTTTGTTCCTGGAATGACATTGTTTGAACTGTCTTATGTATAAGACTAGCCTTGTAACTATTTATTATCTTAAATTCCAAATTAAGAGAGTAAAGCTCTAAAGACTGCAGAGAACCACCGCACTCCAACATTTCTAATACAAAGAATGAACGTAGTTAAGTTCAGCACTTGCCTCCTCTCAATAAAAATAAACTGCTTTAGGAGGCACATTCTTCCTCTATGTCAAAGCTACTAAGTTTGTATTTAATGTTTTATTAATAAACAAAAATAGCACATAAATCCCCAGTAAGTATGGTCGCCTCTTCATGTAAACAATGTATAAAATTTCTTTGGCACAACTCATCATGTTTTCCTCATATTACTCACTGTAGAAAATATACTTAACACATTTTCTCTTCCAATCCGGTGGAATTTTTAGGGACAAAAATGTATAGTTCCAAAAATTGCAAAAAACATTTGAAATACAGCTCATAGCTTTTTTAAAAAAAAAAGAAAACTAATTTTTTTTTTTACCTGTAGAATTGCAGAGATTTTTAACATTAACTTTAAAATCAGATTATGGCAGAATAATGATAAAAGCTATAAAACATACATGACCACACATGACACAATTCACTAGCCCACAAGGGACAGAAAATAGCACTGTATGCCAGACACTGTTAAGTATGGTGATTACCTACTGATCCTAATTTAAAAGCTTCTTAGATACTTGATTCAATTTGAAACCTTTCTTGATCAAATACTTTTTTCAATATCTGTTCTACACTTTTTTAATGTTTAATTTTTGATGCATATTTGGTCATGTTTTTTAACTGACAACCTTTTATGAAAATTTGGGGGAAACAAAGATAAGAAATTTATTTATTTTACATAAATGGCCTAAATACTGTAAAATACTTTCCCTAGGACCCTAACAAACTTAGTAACTGCCTAAAGGCACATTCCTACAAAGTTCATAAAATGTTAAATGGAATGTTTAGTTGATACCAAATTATAATTAACTGTTAAAGAAAAACTGTTAAAGAATAAGCCACTGTCAACCTGCAGCTGAGAATATTCTCACATTAAAAACAAGGCTTTTAAACATCAGAACATAGGAAGGAATTAATGAAATTAGTAAGTCATTTTTAGAAGTTTTAATCATTGAATAAAAGAGGAAAGAAAATACTTAGCTTAAGTTTCTGGAATAAAACCCTGAACTGGCAGTTATGATACATTTAAATATATGAAAGTCAACTGAATAATAAAATGTACAATTTGCAAAGGAATATTAATTTAGAGGACCTTTGAAAGTTTTTTTAGGCCTATCCATTTTTAACTTCCTCAGTGACAAATATAAGAATTTTTAAATGAAAAATGGCAGAATCATTTTTTTCCACTCAGTTTACATGAAGTAGATTGAACCCTCTAAGCAACAGAATTCCAGACATGTGCCAGAACAATATTAAACTCCAAAGGTTTTCCCAGCAGTCAAACTTATGTAAATAGAGCATTTGCAACATAAAATCTTTTGGCTTTTATGTAAAATTTTTCAGGATGGAGTTAGGCCTGGACTTGTCATCTCTGTTGTAGGACTTGCAAGACAGTCATTGGATTTGAGGCTAGTTAGAGATTTGTAACTCGCCATTGATGTTAGAGACCCACAGAGACCAAGTAATGAGGGAGTATCTTCTTTACCTAAAAATTAGGATAAAATAACAAATAGTTAGTTGTCCTTGAAGAATGATACTAATAAGGACCTAAAACCAGTAAAAACTTCATATTTTACAAAATACTGTATATTCTTGAAATAGTTATGGCAACAGTGGCTAATACATATATATATGCACAAACATAAAATACAATGGATTAAAAAATAACAAGTATGCTAAATTTTGTGTTAATATTTTAAAATCAATTTATTGACATGGGGGAAAGAAACTGTCATGGTTAACAAAACTTTGCCTCAGATGACAAGTTGGTAGTTCCTTACAGAAACACATTAGTCATTAGGAGCAAAAATTGATTTTTGTTTTATAGCAAGAACAATTTTGTTTTAAATGTATTGCTATGCAGTCTTCATATGGTACTGCTGCAATGTTACTAAGTTAGAAGTCACTGCGTGTACTCTATGTGCCAGGCATTGTGATAAAAAAGATAAATTTAAAAATCACTTCTTGCCCATAGGGGATTTAGTATATAATGGAAACAGGCACAAACAGACAGTTCTAAAACTCAGTAAGTGTAGTGGGAACACTAAGTCGGGGGTGTTACGGAGGCTCAGGGGAAGAGTATCCGAACCAGAGCAGAAGGTCCGGGCGGGGGCAATTAGAGTAGCTGCCGGGAGAAAGTGACCAAGGAACTGCGCTCCAGTGGACTAGCACCCGAGGCAGACGCCAGAGGAGGCTGCAGAGGACCAGCGTGAACAGGCGCAGGGGGAAGAGTTAGCACCCGAGGTACAGGAGCTAGAAGCCAGAAATGAGACCAGCAGCAATTTTCAACCCTTTTCATCTCATGCATATGAACTACACTAAAATTCTGCAGCACACCAAAAAATATATTTTTTGCTGATTTGACCAAAAAATAGGTATAATTTTGATTCATTCACACCAGGCAGCTATAGCTGTGTTGGCTGTTGTCATTTTTTATTTGACTATCTAAGGGAAAAGAGGTCAGTGCCCCTGACAAAATAGGTAGTGCATGTTTTAAAACTTCTTGCCTCCCATATGTGCCATGACCAGGGATTGAACCCGCAACCTAGGTATGTGCCCCGACTGGGAGTCGAACCCGAAACCTTTTGGTGTGCGGGACAACACTCAACCAACTGAGCCACCTGGCTGGCCAATAATGGTATATCTTAAAACTCAAAGCATCGTAGATGTGATGAAATGTAGTAGCTACTAGTAGTAGCATACCCGTCATATATGAGGTGCTTGATAAATGCTTCTTGAAAAAAAATGACACTCATCCTTTTCTGTCAGCAATTACAGTGCCATGATAAGCAGTTTGAATCTCATTCTGATTGCCACTGAGAGCCCCTGGGTGGTTTTCAGTGGGGTGTTATGTTTTCGAAGATCACTGATTACAGCATGGAGAATGGACTGAGGGGCAGGAATGAGCTGAAAGACAAAGCTGCGGCAGCAGTCTCCGCAGGACGCGTGCTCTTGGCGCAGGCAGGGCCGCGGCAGCGGGGAAGGGACGGGCCAGTGCGCACAGCACGTGTCGCATGAGGCGCCGCCTGAGCCTGCTCATAAATTGACCTGCAGCTGTAGGCGNGAAAGCTGCGGTAGCAGTCTCCGCAGGACGCGTGCTCTTGGCGCAGGCAGGGCCGCGGCAGCGGGGAAGGGACGGGCCAGTGCGCACAGCACGTGTCGCATGAGGCGCCGCCTGAGCCTGCTCATAAATTGACCTGCAGCTGTAGGCGGGAAGAGGAGAATCTGGGATCATGCCTACGGTGCTGCCATCTGCAGTGGAGAAGCCAGGGAAGGAACCGGAGGGACAAAGGAGCGCGGGCTCCCGAGGTGCGAAAGAAACCTTCCCTCGCGCTCTCAGCAGCCTGGGAAGAAGGGGAGAGGAAAGATGTGAGCACTGGGTCACACCAGCACGGCCGGTCCAATCCAAAGGGCTGTATTCACAGTTTAGCTTATGCTGGGGGTCGGAAAGAAAAGGACTTTGGACCAACTAAACTACTGAAGTTTAAAGGCGAATAGGTTGAGTCTTAGAAACTGAAATGCAATCACTGAAAATGGCCTGAAGTTATGGAATTTGGCCAAGATATTGTTCAGGAAGTTGTAACCCAATGGAGAGTGGCTGACAGAGCACATCTGAGAACAGTAATAGGAAAAAATAAAACTCCTTTATGTCTGTTCCCCAAGTTTTTCAGAGTACTCAATAAACAATGTACCAAAAGTTACTCAAAAGCGGTCAGTGACATCAAAAGCTACTGAGAAGTTTAACAGGTCGAAGGCGGAGCACTTGAGCACCATGGCAGTGGCCAGTCACCTTGATAAAAGTCATTTCCGTAAGTAGTGGAGACACAGAAGCCAAATTGGAGTGGGTAGGAAAGAGTAAATAGGAAGTGAAATAAAGGTGAACTACAGACAGTCTTTCAAGGTTAGCCACAAACGTGAGACAAAAACAAGAGCAGACCATTTTTAATTGCAGCAGCGGCTTCATTCTTGGCGCGCTTCACAGAAATACCGCTATTACTCTTCAGCAGTCCTCCGCAACCAAAGCATAGACAGTGCAGGAAAAAGGAATTTCAAAGCGATTTCTCTTCCTTACCTTCACTGACTGAATTTAACGTGTCTTGTTTTCCATCTCCTTCTTGGGACTGACCTGGATCCAGTGAAGTCTGAGAAAGGCTACCTTCAGCTGATAACTGGTCAAGACTTTGGTAACTTTTTCTGTAAAACAAGAGTGAAATACTACTTGAATTTCTTCTCACAAATATAATTGCTAAAGATATTCTTTACTGGTTTTCTTCAATTTGTTGAATTTCTGGTTAATTTCTCCCCAGTTCTCTTCTAAACTTGGTCTTTATCGTGGCTGCAATAGGATCTCCATTATACTTCTCCCTCCACCCCTTTTGAGGTCTATCTGTTTAATCCACTAAAAATGGAAAAGAAAACCATTTTAAAATAAATCCCTGCACCAGTTTTTTATTATCCAGCTAGTTAAGAAATGGGGACATCTGGTTATTATCAGGTATCAAAGGAGCAGAAAAATCTACAGATTACTCTTAATGCGGAAACAAAATTGACATAACTTAATGATCTAGTATTTCCTAAGCACTTGAGAATTCTTCAATGCCTTGATATTTTTATAGATGATTATTATGTAGTAATAAGTTATTATAAATTCCTATAATTTAGAAGCTTAAAAAATGTTGGGTAATAAAATACCTGTTTGTGTTAAAACACCATCAAGATAACTTCCATCCCTCATCTATTTGTAATTGTGAGCCCATTTTCTACTAAACAAATTAATTAGAGGTAAATTATAATAAAGGAAAAACTCAGTTATAAATGGAAACTTAATAAAGGTTTATTATTAAACTGCCCTCATATTTGTTTTGTCAGGATAAAACCAACTCAAAAGATATATACAGCTTTGATGTTATTACCATTTCAAGTAAGAGAACAAAATTCATTATTACTTCCAAATATAAGTGATCCAGGAAAATGAACATTTTTTTAGGTTCAACATCTATTTCCCAAGATACCCAAACCCTATCTAATATCCTAGAAATGTCATATATTGTAGGATAATGTTATAGGAATGCATACATAATTTAAATGATCTATTACATAGTCATCATTTATATTCACAAGAGTAGACAACAAATTTATCAAATGTACGTATATTAAGTATGGGGGATGCATACAGTAGGTATCTGTTTGTTTTTCCCTAAGAAATGAGGTGAAGAATGATGTCATGGAGTAACTACTAGCTTACAACACAAGTAGTATGTTCACTTTCTAAAGTGATGATTTTTCAAATGTCGATAATATAAAAGTTCTTAATTATATTTTTAAGTAATGGGAAGCTCTATTGTAGAAAACTTCTGATAATTATTGCAAATAACAAGTATATGAGCTATGCAACATGTAATTTTAAAAAACGATGCCCAATATTTATATAGCACTTAACAAATGCTAAGCACTGTTCTACATATTTTTTATATATTATTTAATCCTCACAACCACACTAAAAGGTTGGAATTATTAATATTTCTACTTTATAACAGAGGCAACTGAGGCACAAAGAGATTAGATTTAAACCTGGTGACCTGGCTCTAATTCTGTCCCTTTAACTACTCTGCTATCTTTCTGGTATAGGAAGAAAATATTTGGCTTCCAATTTTATTAGAAGCTATTCTTAAAAAACAGCTGTGTTTGCTGAAATCATGTAAAGTATACTCTAATCAAATCACTGAAAATTTCACTTGAGTCCCACTAAAATCTTATTTACTTAGCTATAGAGGAAAGCAGGAACGCAGGAATTTAATCAAGGAAGGTATAAATAAGTTTCTTTTCCAAATTTTCTGTGCCTAGTAGACAGAAAGCTTTCTTTTAAAACAATGGTTTAAGATGAGTTTCTGATACTAACTTTTCATCGTAAGAAACTTGTTAATGTTACTAAGTTGTAAAAATTATATATAGAAATATTTACAAATTAAAAATACCCAGAAGCAAAAAGATTTAGATTTCACTTGAATATTGTAAAATCCGAGAGCCTGACAGCACACATTTACCCCAATCTCAAGAACTGTCACCCACCTGAGGGAGGAAACCTGTAAAGGCAGCTTCTGGTGCTGGCAACACAAAATGAGCCTTCTGCATGACCTACTGAANTAATCTCAAGGACTGTCACCCACCTGAGGGAGGAAACCTGTAAAGGCAGCTTCTGATGCTGGCAACACAAAATGAGCCTTCTGCATGACCTACTGAAGCCCTTCTAGAATATCAGCTTCCAAATCCAAAGTGATTAGGGGAGCTTCCTACCCTTTAATTTGTCATATTTAGTGAACAATCCTTGACTTACAGCTTCACCTAACTAAAGGCCAATGAATAGAAATAGACTTTGGTAGACAATCATGCTCTTAGCAATAATAAAAATTTCAAGCTGAAATTAAGCGCCNGTAGAAATAGACTTTGGAAGACAATCACGCTCTGCAGCAATAATAAAAATTTCAAGCTGAAATTAAGCGCCTTATTTATAAGATACTAAGAACAGCATCATACAATATCTTCCTTGCATGAAACTGACTATATACCCACCATCAGGGAAAAGTCAAGTTCAGCTACTTTCACTAATGACCAAGAATGGGTTGGTTTCCACATTCTTACCTGATTTCCAATGCGATCGGCAGTTTCATCTGACAAACCTGTTTCTGTCATGGGTAAAACTATGTCTATGGGAGTTCTGTCTTTAAAAGGTCACCACTAAATCCTATCTTAGAATTCTAGACTCAGTAGCATCACACTGTAAGATTTAAATGTAACCCATCAGACACATCAAATCAATTAACAGTCAATTATTTCTCAGAGTAGAATTTTAAAAATAGTAATAGTGTACTTAATCAAAATAAGAATCTAAGTAACAGCCATGTATTATGACTTCATAAAAGTTTATAGTTTAACCTGTGCCATACATTGTTAAATATAATTTAAATGTGTAGGAATTATATGTCATGAGTGTTTGGGACATAGTAAAATCTGCTGCCTTCAATATATAACTATTTAAACATTTTAAAATCACTCAAATATAAATTTCAATGTACAGAATTGGATACCAAATAAAGGCAAATTAAATTTAAAAAATTGGGCCCTGGCCAGTGTGGCTCAATTGGTCGGGCATCGTCCTATGCACCAAGGGGCTGCTGGCTCGATTCCTGGTCAGAGCACATGCCTGGGTTTCAGGCTTGATCCCTGGCAGGAGGCAGCCAATTGATGTTCCACTCTCACATCGATGCTTTTCTCTTTCTCAGTCTCTCTCAAAATCAATACAAAAAATATATATATATTTTTTTAAAAATATATATTGATTTCAGAGAGAGGAAGGGAGAGGGAGAGAGAGAGATAGAATCATCAATGATGAGAGAGTCATTGATCGGCTGCCTCCTGCTCGCCCCCGACTGGGGATGGAGCCTGCAACCCGGGCACGTGCCCTGGCTGGGAATTGAACCCCAGTCTCCTGGATCCTAGGCCAACACTCAACTGCTGAGCCACGCCTGGCTGGGCAATACAAAAAATCTTAAAAAAAGAAAATTGGGCAATAAGCCTAAATTCACTTATTAGTAAATTTCTGTCATAAATTTTTGTACAATAGTACACTTTATGTCAGTGATTAGAAGTAATGATATGGGTAATCTACATCACTTATTTGCCCAGTAGTTGTATTAAGGTCAATAATAATTTACATTATCTGGTAATCACTGGGCAGCAGAAAATGTGATGCACAGGAGACATTATCCACAAAATACAAACAAATATACCAACACTGTCTACA